ATGATGATGATGATGATGATGATGATGATGATGATGATGATGATGATGATGATTATTATTATTATTATTATTATTGGAGAAAGGGGTTTACTAGTTTTAGACAAAAAATTGATGAATACAGATCAAATGAATGTGTGTGAAATGTGTGTGTGTGTGTGCGTGTGCGTGCATGTGTGCGTTTGTGTGAATCGTGAGTGAGAGAGGAAAAAAAGACCATCGGTGGGTGGAAGAAGCGCCTGTTTATGAGATGTGAAGACAGAGAGAGAGAGAGAGAGAGAGAGAGAGAGAGAGAGAGAGAGAGAGAGAGAGAGAGAGGGAGGGGGGGGGGGGAGACGCAAGTGTATGTGTTCTTATTTAAGTGTATCGATGTCTCATTTCAGGAAGATTATTTGGTTATTTTGCAGTATTGAACACATCTCGTAAAGAGGCATAAAATTGTGAATTTGACCATTAAAACCACCGCAAATCAACCTAAATGCTAGAACCCCCCCCCCCTCCAATGGGAAAATTATTGTCTAAAGATTTTAAAGGCAAAAAAAAGGTAAGAACACCCCTGACAAAAACCCTTAGACTCTCTGTTATAGATTCTCTCTCAGATATTCTCTTTCTCAACTTGTGCTTCTCCTCGTCTGACTTCTCACCCTCACTAATAGATCTAGATCTAGCCAGGGAGAAGAAATTCTGCAGCAATTTCTCTCGGCAAGGCTCGCTCCTCCCGAATAGATACCTGGACAGGTACTGGTGTAGACATTTGGCTCGAATACCTGGTCTCTTGACCCACTTCATTAGCGTTCAATGTTTTGGGTGTGTGTGTATATATATATATATATATATATGTGTGTGTGTGTGTGTGTGTGGTCCCTTGGTCCACAAAGTTTTCTGAATGGTTCATGGTATAAGGCGTGTATGAAAGTTCTCCGAGGTCTCTGTAGGCTCCCCAAGAATCATTGTAGATAATAGACCCAGGCACAATGAATTTTTTTAAATAATAGGAATCAGAGTAGGCTATTCTTGTCACGCCTCTTTGACCAAAGCGACCCCAAAACTTCGCTTCGACACACGCTCAATGCTTCCAAAGAGCCAAATCTGGTTCAAGACACGACCCCGCTCATTTTTCCTCCCAATGAGTATCTCGTTGATTTCTACTTCCACACCAATACCACCTATGGGCCCCTGGTTGGTCAACCACTCCTCTGTCTACTCGCTACAAAAAGATCGCCCATCCACAGTAGAATGGGCCGAAAGACCTGTACATTCTTGCACAGTCTTGTTGTCCCACGAACGACTGAGAAAATGATTGACGACACTGCTTTTCACGCAGGAATAGAGCAATTATTCAAGAAAGAACCCTTGTTGGAAACACTGAAACCACAATGCCTCCTCTTTTTAGTCTTAGGAATCTCACAATTGTTCCTGCTGCGCCATAAACACTTATCCTCAAAATATTATTATGCGCACTGCGTATTACACTTCGGGCACACTGCCCCCTTTAGCAAAACACCATGCAAACGTAAAAATCACGGCTTTTCCGATTGTCTTCGTAGAATCTTGAGATGGCTCAGAAATAACTGAAGGCAGTGAAGGTGTCTGACTGGCACGAATTCATGATATGACATAACTCAACGCAGACGAGGAGCAGCTCGAGAATGACGAATAGACTAGAATATTTCAAACTTAGAGAGGCAATAATGACGTAAGCAAAGCGCACCGTGAAATGTGCATGCGCAATAATTAATATTATGCAAAAGGGTTGGAGGTCGCATTCAAAATAGTTTAAAGGGGCATACGCATAGTCTGTGACCTGTGACTCGCTGCGCAATCACAATACTCTTTCCCGGTGTATTAGTACGTCAAGTTCATTAAAATATACAAACAATATTCGTATCAATATTTCGCAAACGGGACTTTTGCGATGATTTTGAATATCATATTCGTAAATTACACACCCTAAAACTGACAAAAACCATTAATAAAGCAGTAAACCTAAGTTGGGTCCAACTGTGCAATACTTGTAAAACCGATTAAATACGATTTCCAATACTGTGGGTAACACATTTAAAACACACCTACACATACACACTCACACACTCTCTCTTTCAAACACACTTTATACACACAAACAAAACACACCCAAACAAAACACACTCAACACTTTCTCTTAAATACACATACACATACACATATATACACACACTCTCACAAACAAAAAGAAACACACACAAAAATACACGATACTTTCCATCCACCAAATCAGGTTGAATACTTTTGGTCTCAAATCACCGTAATTGTAATTGGTAAAACAATGTTCTGATTTTTGAGTCCTGTTGAGAGTTTTACAGGACTTGCACTCATCTCATCTCATCTCACTTCATCTCACTTCGTCTCATTTCATCTCGTCTCATCTCATCTAATTTTGTGTCCCATCAGGCGTATGGTCAAACATTCATCAAAGACGACACATTCCTGGCTCTAGTGGGTTCTTTCGCCGCAGTCTTCAACGGTGCCGGTCGGATTTTCTGGGGCACTATTGCTGATAAGCTGTCTTGTCGGGTGAGTACTTCTCTCTCCTCTCTCTCTCTCTCTCTCTCTCTCTCTCTCTCTCTCTCTCTCTCTCTCTCTTTTTTTTCTCTCTCTCTCTTCCTCTCTCTCTCTTCCTCTCTCTCTATCTTTCCCTCTCTCTCTCTATCTTTCCCCCTCTCTCTCTCTATCTTTCCCTCTCTCTGTGTCTCTCTCTGTCTCTCACTTCCTCTCTCTTTCCGCGATCTGGCCTCTTGGCCACAGCAATAGGAGATTGACTTTAATTTGGGAGGTCCAACTCCAATTTATAAAAACCTGAATGTATTGCAATCAGCTTTAAAAGGATGTGTGAGGCATTGTTGTTAAACCAGTGGCTCGACAAGATGATGAAACTGAAGAAAGTGGCATTTACCCGCTCGGTTGGGCATATTTTTAAAGCTCAATTTTTATTTGTTTGTATTTTGTTGGGGGGGTTGGCTGAACTCCTTTTGTGTCCCTTTAAAAGAAAGCTTCTGGTCGAATTTGTGGGGGAGAGGTTGATTCAAGGCACAAAAAATATAACTTTGAGTTTCCAAGGACTCTGAAATTGTGGAAACCACCAATTTTGGCGGCCAGTTAATCCCTAATTTTAAATCTGAAACAAGGAGACCCCCACCTCCTTCAATTGCAAATGTCTCAACTTTTATTGAAGGTAGATGGATATTTGTTTTACCGAAAGCAAGACAAAGGAACAAGTTTTAAGATAATACAAATAACGCCACATATGGAAACATTGACGGGCGCCAGATTTCACATCGCTGTGACGTACATATGACATCATCACCGCGCCTCACTCTCACCAGGTGGCGATGCTGAGCATGTCTGCTGCCTTTTGCGCGCTCATTCTGACGCTGAGCGTGACGTCATACGGCGGGAAACCGCTGTTTTTTATTTACGTCTGCTTGCTCTTCGGCTCCTTCTCCGGAAGTTTCTCCATCTTCCCGACAGCCACTGCCAAATGTTTCGGCCGGAAGTACCTGGGGGTCAACTACGGCTTGGTGTTCACTTCTCAGGTCAGGGACACTTATTATGAATATAATGTAAAGATAATATGTTCTATGTATGCATATGGCATATACATTGTGGTTCCGTTTTTCTTTTAATAGACTTTCTTCATTTCGTCTTGCCTTTCAAGGGGGAAGAAATTACTAAGAGAGAATTTGAATGGAAAACATCATTTTTCTTGTTTGTTTCCTCTAACAGTTAAATTAAGAATGATAAACGCAACAAACTTTGTTGGAACCACTTAACATAAAAGATGTCAATAGGTAGAATTGTCAAAAAACAAACAAACCCCAAAACAAACAAAGAAGCAAATAAACAACACCCCCCTCCCCCCAAAAAAAAAATATAAAAAAATTACTGCAGAACAAAACAACCCTTCCCCTGAAAAAAGAAAACAAACAAAACTAACAAACAAACAAAGTCAACCCCATTAAACATTGTTTGTGTTCCACCAGCAGATTCTCATCTCCGCTCCTGATTTGTTTCTCTCGGAACGTATGCAGTTGCTAGCACCGTTAAGCTTTTAAAAAAAACAAACAAACAAACAAAAACCAACCAGACCCGCCCCCCCCCTCCCCCAATTAAACACTATCTGTGTTCACCCGACAGATTCTCATCTCCCCGCTGGGCGTGTTCCTCTCTGAGAAACTCAAAACGCTGATTGGCTGGAACGGACTGTTTTTCTTCGTGGGCGCCTTCTCTCTCACAAGTAAGTAACGTGACTTGACCGCCTCGGTGGCCAACTCCAGCAGTGTGGGTGGTTGGAGGGTGCACTGGTGTGGTTTGCCCTTTCTCTCCTATCAAACATTTGTCGTCCTTATCTCTCCTCCTTCTGTTGTGTGTTTGTTACTTTCTCGTAACCAGTGGCGAAGCGTCTATATAATCAATTAATAACTACTGCTTTCCTTCCTAATTTTGAAACATTGTCGCTGTCAAATCCACCCTTAGACGTAAACCTCATAAATTAAATGTAAAAAGACGTTCATAATCACCAATGAACAATAGACTATGCCTAACCTTCAAAACCGTTTCATTGCCACAGAAATAGCCTGTTCGCCCCTATCGGGCCACTCCATAAGCAGTCACAACCTTTGATTAAGTAAGCTTAAAGTGAGGCTGGAAGAGTCTACGAATAGAGTTGAAGGGAACATGTGCATAGCAGTCGAAACTGTTTCATTGCCACATATACCCTGTTCACCCCTTTCGAGCCACAGTTATAAGCAGTCACACACGCTGATTATGTAAGCTAGCTATTGCACTGGTCGAGTCTACCTCACAGATGTGAGGGGAACTAACTCCTAATAATATCTTGACTGCTGCGAGCGCTTGTTTTTTTTCCTCGACTTTTTAACGTCCTATAATCAGATCGTGACTTCGATTATGACACCGGCTCCTGGCCGCGAAAAGATAGACAAAAACAGCCAAATGTGAAATAAAAAAAATAATAATTGGCATGCTCTACCAAAGTGTTTAGACTGTCTGGTATAACCTGCCATTGTAGTACGGACATCTCTGCTTCTTTCCTTGGTGTTCGTGTATTCAAATCTAAAGTTAAATTCAAGGTTAGCTAGAATAAATATTTAATGAAATACTTTCCCGATTATTTTAGAGGTTGAATATGCATACAACATGAATTCAGGATTTGTTTTCATTCACAACTCAAAGTTGCCGCCTCCAGTAAGATTCTTGTGACATGTGTGAATGTGATATCTCCAGGCCCTATCTGGTCCCATGTCACGTTGATTACCCTGTCAAACAAGTCAGCCTTCGCCCCTGCTCGTAACACCTCTAATTTTTGGTATTTTTATGACCATATTGCGTTGCAAGTGTTGTAAAAGTCTTACTAAAACGACTCCTGCCATACGTATTAGTTTTCGTAAGCTAGGGTAACTATAACCGTAATTACAGAAGAGATATAGGTACTTTATATTAAGACCTAATTGTATTGCAAGTGCCGTAAAACACTTACTGAAATAACACAAGGTGTCAAGTAAAGTTTAGAAAAAAAAACATGTCTATCTTTAGAGGAAACAAAAACAACAACAAAAAACTGTCAAACAAATAACGTTGTCTATGGTATAGCCGTTAGGCGCTTCGC